AGTGAGGGTGTGGAAGCATTGCCAGAGGACAAAGTACAGGAATCTGCAAAAAGTCTCTTGTTTTAGGAAGGAGAGCAGGAAACTGCCTGTATTTTCACTATAAACAGCTGAATAATTAATGGTCATATCCATGTAACTACTTACCTAGATTGTATTTTAAGTGAAACTTGAAAAAATGTCATTAGCTCTGCTCCACCTGGAACATAATGTATTTTCTCTACTATTAGAAAATGACAGAAAAAATTCCATTTTTTGTCCACGGGGTCCTTCTCTAGAGAGAAACTAGTGTTCATTCCAATAACAAACCAATTTTAATTTGATGAGTTTTAAATTGGATTTTAAATGTTAAATACAGATTTGTATTAAATGTAGTTGTTTGAAAATTGTTTGTACAGAGGAATATGATAATGGAGGAGACTTCAAAAGGAAAGATAAGGCTGGGGGTTTAGCTCAGTCCCACAGCAACACAGCACTCACCTAGAAAGGCACAGACACAAACCAAAAATCCATGAAAACTCTCTTTTCTCCATAATTTATACAGTATTAGTATTTAAGTAATGGTACTCATTCCTACAATTAACCTATCCCTTTCCAACATCATAAACCACAGTATTTTCTTCCAAGTTCAGATTTTAAATTTGGAGTATTAAATCAAAGCCGTAGTGTCTAAAACAATCTATTCTTGACTCAAGTAGCTAACACAACTACAGTGACAAACATTTAAAATGTAGTTACTTTTACAATACATTCAGGATGTTAGAGCTTTATAAATTTCTATCACTTTTAAAAACTGTACAAAACAAAGGCCTTTTGACAATACAGGTTTATAATTAATCTTTATAGTTGATTCTTGAAGACCTGTTTACCATTGGTCTATCTATATGCTCTGTATCTATTCTTGGAACAGTTAAAATTTGCCACTGGTTGAAAACATCAATAACTCTTGGGCATCAAAATTATCTTCTTTACAGTAATATCTTTGTAAAAGTTATTTCTTAATAGAATTCTCTGGATCTGTGTTCATCTTTTCTATTTTTTCTTGGAATAGAATGGAATAGGTTTGAATTTAAATGAAATATAATGGCAGCTCCTGTTTTTATAAGAAGGGAGTTGTCACATTATGCTTCATCAGAATTAAGGTACTGAGAAGTACATTGGCAATTAGAAGTGTCCTAGCCTTTTGAAAAGGAAGGAAAATCTTTTGGTGCTCCACTGTAGGGCTATCTTAAAAAAAAAAAAAAAAAAGTCAGCAAAGGGAGGGTGAACAATTAGCCTGAAGGATCCCTCGAGTAAAAGATGGCTGAACACAGAGTTTTTGTCAAAAACTTTTGACATCTTGGTTAATTAATTTTACAGCAAAATGCTAAGTATTTATATTATTTCACTTTTGTTTTAGTATGGAAAAGTAATTGTAGGTTTAAAAAAACATATTTCCAACAAACAACTTAAAAATTTATAAGATTAAAAAAAAAAAAGAAAATACCCAACACAAAAAACTGGTGGTGAGTGGCTCAAATGGTTGAGCACCTGTCTAGCAAGTGTAAGGCACTGACTTCAAGTCCCAGTATCACCAAAAAAAAAAAAAAAAAGACAGAAAGAACTTGCTCTTTGGGGAACTGAGTCCATCCTCAGGCAATAACTGAAAGACAAAAATTGGATGTTTGTACTTGTCTTCTTATAAACTATTACTAATGAAAAACTAGAGAGGATTCATAAATGATCATTCAAAGGCCCACCGATAAATATTATAGCTTTTAGATGGGAATGTCAACAGATAAAACAGAAATGTCTTCCAGCATAATATAATAATGGTATATGAGTTACAATATTAATAAATACAAATTTCATGAAACCAAGAAATATTTTTCTTACTGATCTAAACTGTATAATTTCCTACAATTCCACTCTATGATTTGTTGGTAATAAATCAGGGAACCCATCAGGAGACATACATCATGATCCCATCATCATACTTCTTAGTGTGAAACAAATGACTTACTAAAACAATTGACTCTGATTCTTCAGATCATCATTGTACCCACTCAAGTTCCAAACGAGGAAACCATCTTCTTGCACTCAAATCCTGAAGGAAATTTCTGGAATAATTAAGACAAGTTGTATTTTATAGAAATGAGAGTCTACACAGGAAAAAAGAGGCAGCAGCCAGGGAAAGATGGCTGCTTCACTTACTTTACACAAGAGAATCCACATATACAAGGATAAAAACATGCTAATCTTACACACAAGTCTCTTCTGAAGAGACTGAGACATTATCTCCAAAAGGCTTGTGACAAACAACCAAAGTTACCCCATTCCCCAAGACTTCCAGGGAAGTTAGCATCCCCGTGCCTGAAACTGGGACAAAGATCAAATATTCTATGTACTACACATCCACACAAAGCCTTTTCTCCACATGGAAGAACCCAAGGGTGTCCTCTCACACTGCCCTTGGCTTTCTCAATTACCACAAATTACATTCTTAGGACACTAACTCCGTGTTGCAAAACAAAGAACTATGTCCACTTCTACCCCAAAGGTTGTAATCCTGGAAAACAGTGGTGATTAAAGAAGAGTTCTCCCTCACATGCAGCTTATAGACCTAAAACAAATGCAGTAATATTATTGGACATGGGTCACACACTAAGGGAAGAACACGTACAGGAGGAATAAGGAAAGGGAAGGAAACCTAAAACTTGAAAGTGGTTGATGGGCCCACTGTAGAGGAGTGGACAAAGTAAGCTTAAACTGGCAGACGCCACTATGGGAAGGTGACTTAGAAGAAGTAAAGAGGTCTGGTAGAGAAGAATGAATGCAGGTTGTAATACACATGTGCATGGAAGCAATGCTAGGAATCTCTCTGTATAGCTATCTTTATCTCAAACTAGCAAAAATGCTATGTCTTTCATATTATCTCTTATGTTTTCTCTTCAATAAAATTGGAGAAGAGGGCAGAACAGGTTCTGCCTGGAAGCGAGGGGGATGGGGAGGGGGGGAGAAGAGGCCCAAACAATGTATACACATATAAACAAATGTATAAACAAATAAAAAAACAACTCTCACTGAAGCCAGGCCATTGTGGCTAAGCCTACAATTCTAGCTTCTTAGGAGGCACAGATAAGAAGGATCACACCCATCCCGTTCAAACCATTGACCATATGCTATCTCAAAAATACCCACCACAAAACAGGGCTCCTGGAGTGCCTCCAGTGATAGAGCACTTGACTACCAGGCCCTAAGTTCAAATGCAAGCATCACCAGAAAAAACGTCCCAAGGGCCAGAACTTTTTCCTAAGAAAAAAGGATCCAAGTGCAAGCAAACCCCATCCTGTTACACTTGCCCCAGTCCTCCCACTTTTTTTTTTAAATAATATACAACATTACATACACACTTTTCAAGTTCCAATGTTTTGCTTTGGTTAACTGAACTGATATTAAGAAACAAAACAGAAAAAACCTGTAATCCTTGGTATTTGGGAGGCTGAGATTGGCAGGATGGAGGCCAGAATGGGCCAACAGTTCCCAAGACTAGTCTCCAAAATACCCAACACAAAAGTGGGACAGCAGGATGGCTCAATTGCAGAGCACCTGCCTAGCAAGTGTCAGGGCCTGGGTTTAATCCCCAGCACCGCCAAAGAAAGAGAATCATGGTTTACTGTGCTGATTGTAAAAATTAACTTAACTTTCTCTCATTCTTCCAGGCCTGAGACCTCTGACCAACTCTGGCCTGAGCCTGTAAACCATTTCACCTCAACTGTGACCCAAAGGGCAGGCTAACCATGTTCTCTGGTCCTTCATTGAGATTGTTCCCTCTAAAGTTCTCCCCCACCACCTTCTTTTCCTCCTGTGTCCTCCCTACAAAGAACAGCCCTTATCTGCCTTGCCACAGATGAGTTTAGGGACCTAACACTCCACTCCGGCTTTCCACAGGATAGAGTCTTAGCTAGGGGTCAGCTAAGTAGAATCAACCGCCACCAGTACAACCGTCAGGGACAAGCAGCCTCAGCAGAAGCAGCAGTGCCAGGCACAACCACAAGCAGCCAAAAAATCCATGAGACAGACAATAAACTGCCAGTGCACTTCACTCCCATCCTTCCCCAGGGTTAACCCCTCTGTGACATATTATCACCCACTTTGGTGAATCTCCTACCCTGCAGCTTTTTGGCCCAGTTCTACATAAATTCTGCAAAAAAGTCTGCAAATGATCCATATAAAGATGAGGTCCAGACCTCATTAACATGTAATTAACATTGTGGGTTTATGTAGGAAACCCTCACAAATTGCCACATTGCTTTCAATGGACCCTGCAAGACAGGGTCCACACTACTTTTGGCTGGCATTTAATGATCCTCGATGGTCCCCAGTGTCCTCCTAAGTCTTTCTTCTGTGAGACAAGAATTGGCTCCCAGTGTCTGATCTGACCTGGGCTACCTGCTGCACCCTGTTCAAAGAGTATCCCTTCATACTCAACCAGAGTCTTTCCTTTGTAAAACCCGGTCTAGAAACAGTGGAGCACAGTTAATGTGACGTCACAGAGGGTAGCGGTGTCCCCTCCCCTCCCCCTCTAGCCACTAGGCACAGGGACCGTCCTTCTCAGAGTTTTGGTCATAGGGTGCGTGGCCAGCGTCACAAACATGGCCTGGTGACAGGTCGTGGGGTTCACACGACCCTTCCCAACCCTAAAGACTCAGCGGGGCGCCAGCGAGGAGACACGGGGACCCCAACCCCGCGGAACACCCCCTCCCACGAAGGGGCAGGAGTCGCCATGACCGCCGTCACTGTGCTGTTGGGGACACGCGGGGCCAAACCGCCCTGTGGGAGGCCAAGGTAGCCGCTCACCTGAGCAAAGGGGCAAACGCCAGTCCCGGCTCCGGCCCAGCCCCACCCTGCGGCCCAGAGGAGCGAGGACGAGCAGAGCCGGGGGAGGACGCACAGCACACAGGGGCCACCGCAGCATCTGGCCGGTCCCCGCCGCGGCTCTGCCACCCCGGCTGAAATCTCACCATTTCCCGAGACACCCGGCGTCGTCCTTAGGCTCCTGCAGTCAGGGGACACAGAGCGGCCAAGGCTGGGAAACCTGGGGCTTCTCCCGGCTTAGACGCGGAGATCAAGTATGGCGGTCCCTGAAAGGAAGGCAGTGCTTTGGGCAGCAGGTACGTCCTAAGATCCGCGCTCCTCATTGGTCAGTTCCTTCCGCACTCCATTCTGATTGGATAATGATCCAGGCCCCGCCCCTTGACGACGGGGTGAGAGGAGGGCGTTTTCTGCCAGGTTCTGCAGAACACAAAGGACAAATTCCTCCCACCGCTCCCGCGGTCTAGGCTTCCTCCCCTTGGGCGAACCTGGCCCAGCCTTGGCTCTAAGTGTGTTGAGCAGAACCAGTCCCGACTTTCCAGACCAGACACCTGCTTCTCCCCACGCCTCCTGAACATCTTACGCTGTGCTTGCAGATCGGTACTTTTATCAAGTTTCCTCTGGCTCCCGTGTATCTGTGGTTTCCACTTGAGTGGAGACTTGTGTTAGTGTCCATCACTTCTTCATGGAGGTTTCACTGCGCTATGATCAGAGGAGCACAGAATGTGCTTTCCCCTCTCTCACTCCCTCTACTCCTCCTCACCATCCCTCCCTTCTCTCCCATTTTAGAATGAATGTGCTTCATTTTGCTATTTTCATGAATACATATAATGACTTGTTCATATTTACCTGTCATCAAATTCCCCTTTCTCTGCACCTTTCCCAATGTTTTCCACCCCAAACTGGCCCTCTGTAAAAATTCTAGAAAATAAGCATGATGTAAAACCGCACCCAGCCTTGGAAGCTTTATTGATTTATTTTTTTAATGACTTATCAAAGAAGTAGTGGTTTTATGGCCAGTAAGAATTTTTCAACATGTAAGGTGGTTCCAGGACAGATATCAAACCAATGGTATAGCTATGGGTATTTTGCAAATACTATCTACTATTAAAGTAGCTGGCCTGGAGGTGTGGCTCAAGTGTACATGAAAACATCAGAAATTATCAATTGGCTTATTACATTGATACTCACATCTCCAATAAAGTAAAATTTTGGTTGGGGAATTTCTTTTTTTTTTCAGTTCTGGGACTTGAACTTATGGTCTCACACTAGTGAGCCCTACCACTTCCTGAGACACCTCAACTGTCTTTTTAAGGGTAATTTTGAGATAGGTTCTCTTGAACGATTTGACTGAGGATGGCTTTGAACTGTGACCTCCCTAATTTGTACCTTGTGAGTACCTAGGATAATAGGTGTGAACCACTGGTTTTGATAAGACTGGGGTTTGAACTAAAGGCATACCCCCTGAAAAGCAGGAAATCTACAACTTGAGGCACATGATTCTGAAGGAAAATGTTGTTCTACTTGTGTTATTGTTTTAATTATTGTTTTCACACTAGCATCAAAATGCCATGTGAGCAGTATGAATGGAGAGTCAGTATGTGATGACCAAGATATGGAATGAACACTATGAGAACACAGCAGCACCTGCATTGCAAGAGTGAGGCCCTGAGTTCAAACCCCAGTACTGTCAAATAAAAAATTATAGCCAAACAAATCTTTAGGAACTTGGATTCTGTTTGTAAGCATAACTTCATATTCTTACTAGCCAACCAGGGAACAAGTCTCCTCTATGCTGCTCCATTATATGAAAAGGGAATATTTGAGTGAAAATACAAGGTATGATCATGTTATTCCATGAAACTTACAAGAATTTAAGAACTTATCTGTAAAGCCGTAATCATTTGTAATAATTTTATGGGGTTCCAGTTTGAAAAAATAAATCAAAGGCCAGACAATTGACGGCCTCACCTTGTTTATTTCTATATGACATGAATGACCATCTCAAGCTGGCCTATTCTCCTCTCTTTTCTTTTCATGTGTGTGCTTAACTTTATGAATTAGCACATTAACAATATGAGAAGATTTCATTGGGATAATTTCATACATGTCTACAGTGGCTTGATACTTTGAATCCATTTTGGTACTGGGTGATCTAGTTCCAAAATTCTAGATATAATCAGTTTTCAAACACCATTTGTTGAAGAGACAGTCTTTCTGCCATCTTCTTTGATACTTTTCCTAAATTAGATCATTTTATGTCTTCCTTCTCTTCTAGTACATGGTTTGCTTACTTTAAATATTTCCCTAGCACTGTATTCTCTGAATTCTATGAGTTTTGGCAAGATGTGTGTTCTTTTTTTTTTTTTTTTTTGTATTCTCAATGCTTTTTTTTTCTAACAGCAGTAGGGTTAACCTCAGAGCCTCATGCTTCCCAGGCTACCACTTGAGCTATTCCACCAGCATATAATAAATTCCTCAGGGGGCATTCTTTAACAGGTGCATTATCAAGAATTCTCTGCTTTAATCTCCAGTTGTTTGGAGGTTTTCCAACTGTTCAATTCCCATTATACTTTAGTATTGTCTAAGAGAATACTTCATGTGATTTCTATTCCTTTAGATTTTTCAAGGTGTGTTTTGTAGCTCAGATTATATTATGTGTGGGTGAAGGAACCACATGAATTTGAGAATGATGTGTACTCTTTGGTTGTTGGATACAGTATTCTGCATTACCAAATGGCTCCAGTTGATGAACATCAACTGGATAATGATGTTCACCATTACTGACTTTCTGTCTTCATCTGTCAATGACTGATACATGTGCATTGAGATCAGCAAATACTGTTGTGCAATTGAACTGTTCTGTTCTGTGTCTTTTTCAGTCATATACTTTGTTCCAAAATTATGTGAATACTTGTTAGGGATTGTATGTCTTCTTGGAGAACTGCCTGCTTTATCATTATCCCATCCCTCTATTCCTTCTATTAATCTTGAACTGCTACTTTCTGATTGGGTTGGAATTAGAGCTAGTTTGAGCTAGTGTTAGAATTCTATTTCTCTGCATAAGTTTATACATCATCTATTCTTGGCATTATTTTTATTTTAAAAGTATTTATATGCTACTCAAAATGTAATGAAGCTATAATTTAAGACATGATATTTTGAAAAATGTTTAGAAAGTGGTGAAATTAGGCTGTTGATCAGATATACTACTTCTCATACCTATAAATAAATTATGATTAGAATACCTACATTCTGTCTGGGCATCAGTGGCTCACACATGTCATACTAGCTTCTCAGGAGGCAGAGAACAGGAGGACCATGGTTAGACACCAGCCTGGGGACATATTCTGTATTGCTCATTAATAGCTTATATAAACTGTGTTGGGAGATGGGGTCCTTTTTTGGGAGTAAGGGGTTTGAACTCAGGACCACAGTCTTGATAGGCAGGTGCTCTTACCACTTGAGTTACTCTACTAGCCTTTGTGTTGGGTGTTTTTGAGACAAGGTCTATAACTATTTACCTGGGCTGGCTTCAAACAGTGATTCTCCAATATCTGCCTCCTAAGTAGGTAGGATTTACAGGGATGAGGCTCTGGCACCTGGCTTGCAAGTGATATTTTCAATCCTTTGACTAGTATCTCTTCAACTCCTCATGTCTTTATGTGTAAAATGATTTCTCAAGAAAAGAACAGAGTTAGTTCTTTTTTTTCTAAACAATGGTATCAATGTTCTTTCATTGGTGTGTTTAGATAATTCACATCTTGAGATAATTGATAACCAGCTAATATGATCTCTACTTCCATTCATGTTGCTGTAAATGATATAATTTCAATCTCTTCATTGTCTAAGTATACTGCATTTTATTTTTACATCCCTTCAGTGATTCCATAACTTAACTACTGTCAATACTGCTGCTACAAATGTGGTTGTTTTGTTACATTCTGTTGCATATATGCCCAGGAATAGTAGAGCAGGATCACATGGTAATATAGTAGTTGTGTCACCAGAGGACAGATGAGGTTCTCCCACACCTTCCCAGGTGAACAAAGTATCTCAGGTACTTGAGATCCACAAATATTTAAAAGTTTTTCAAGGTATTTCCTAACAAGAAGTCTTGCAAGGTGGAAGTTTTAGCAAAGATTTATTTTAATATAACAAGATAAAATATAAACAATAAGCGGGGGAGAGAAAAAGAGAGAGAAACATTTCCTGTTGCTCACCCACAAAATGAGGCAAAGGTTCAAAACGGTGGTCCACATCTCCTAGTCTTACACTCAAGACCTGGAGGAATACACATTGTCAAAGGTAGTAGGTCTGGGTGGTGGATATGGGTGTTAAAATGAAGAAGGGTCTGTCCTGTCCCACCCAAATCACAGGGACAATAGATGTGCTTTAGAACTTCCCTGTGATTACTTTCTACCCATCCAAGGATCCTTGCAGCTTCTTAACATCCCAAAGAGGAAAGCAGAAGCAGGAAGCTCCTTTTTGTTTTGCTGTTCCTGCAACTTAGCAACTAAAAGGAGATGGGAGAGGGCAAGCTGCTCTGGTTCTCCAGCCTTGAGTTCCTTGTTTCAATGTCAGAATCTGGCCCATTAAATTTTGGTTAAAATACTACAATTTTTTCTCTCCTCATCTGTCTATCCTGCACCAGTTGCATTTTTCATTTTTTTAATCAAGTTCTATAGTAATTTCCATTGTATTTCAGTAAATTTCCATTTCCAGCAACATCACCTAATTCGAAATTCAAGATGTAAGTGGGCACCAGTGGCTGATTCCTGTAATCCTATCTACTCAGGGATGCAGAGATCAGGAGGATCTCACTTCCATGCCAGCCTGAGCAATAGATTTCAAGACCCTATCTTGAAAACAAATGCAGCCAGGTGCCTGCAATCCTGTTACTAAGGAGGAAGAGAACAGGAGGATCATGGTTCAAAGCCAGCCTGGTAAAATAGTTCACGAGATCCTATCTCAAAAAACCCTTCACAAAAATAGGGCTCATGGAGTGGCTCAAGGTGAAAGCCCTGATATCAAGTTCCAATACTGAGGAAAAAAAAAAAGAAAAGAAATCCATCACACAAAAAGGGCTAGCAGAGTGATTCAAGGTGTAGGACCTGCGTTCGTGCTTTAGTACTGCAAAAAAATCAATCAATCAATCAAAATGTAAAAACAACTAAAAGACTTTCCTTCATGATAAGAACAAGGTAAAATGATAAGGAAAGTTCAAATATTGCATCCTTTGGTCTCCCCTTAGTGGA